AAGTCCTGAAGGACAATTTTGGGCTCAGGACTGAATTCTATGGTAGTCCATTTGACATCTCTCTCCAGTTTCATGAGGACTCATTGCTGAACAGATGTTCAGTATGGTTTAATCTAAGATATGGCACTAAGTCCATGCTTAACCAGTCTGACACATAGCATCTTTCAGGTGAGGAGAGAGCTTGGTTAATAAATATATGAAGTAAATAGATTATGTAGAGAGTAGTGGTAACTAGATAGCCTTCAAGAAAACTTCTGAAATAACCTCATGAGTTGGCAAATCACTTTAATCATAAGCTAATCAGAATGAATCCTTATTTGCAAGTAAATTATGTCTATACATGAAGCAGCTACTCTGATGAACGAGCAACTTGCAGATGACATGATGTAATCTTATTTATTCTTTATTAAGTATATGCATATTAGTTAAATATGCCTACTGGGATTTTTTTCATAAAAAAAACTATGTGTATAGATTTTGTTCTTCTCTTTATCCTACTGGCTGTTGCCCATTAGGGAGAAGTTTTCAATGATCATTGTTCTTTTACAAATAAACGTAAACCTTAACCCTTTCTAGTGTTTGGTTGTTTCATTTGAGAAAAAAGGGACATCTCAAACTAAACCAGGTTTGCTGATCAGATTATAAAGGGAGTGTTAGAAGTAAGGTCTTCATCCTGGTTCATCCAAGCCGGGAATAAATAAGCAAACAGGGCGACTGCTTTGGGAAGAAGGTTACAGTTTATTGCAGAAAGATGGTCTTCAGGAAAGTACAGAGGAGAGAAGAAGAGAGAGCACAGATGGGGCAGTAGGCTTTTATACCCCTCTAGCCTTGTTTGGAATAGTTTCCTGTTCCTGTGGCATGAACCTTGAGGCTGTTTCTGAGTGTTTGTCTAGGCCTTGATATCTGTGGTTTAATTCTATTATCATATCCTGCTTCCCAGGTGATGGGGCTGACTCCTAGAGTTTGGGTGGGGTATGCAGATCTTCTCTTTTGTCTTCTTGATTGCTCTGGCTTCAACTTTCTGATGGTTTTACATCTGCATTTGTATAGGGCTAAAGTCTTGCTTGGGGCAGAGAGATAGATTTGGGGCCAGGTTTGGTTTTAAAAAGTCCTTTTGAGGAAAAATATATTTTTCTGCCCTTTTTAATATTTCTTCTCTGGGCTAACTTTCATCAATCCTCGCTTTGTGCCTTAAGTGTGAATTTATGACACACTTATTGGCACAACATTAAAATTGATCTGGTCAGGGAGCCTTGGTAGACAAGGTTTTAAACTGTTAAGCAAAATAATAATAATAATAATAATAATAATAATAATAATAATAATAATAATAATAATAATAATAATAATAAGACATTAATGGAGGCAGCAGAAAAAGATCCCTTTAGTGGCTCCCAAAAGGGGAGCTTGCACCCATAAAGTTCTAAAAGTCAGGGCAAAATTTTGTTAGGTGGAAAAGAAATTTATAGTGTCCAATATTCTGTGCCAATCATTTTCAAATGTTGGATATCACCTTTAGCTTCCAGTCAGGTTTGCATACCCCCCAAAATTCTTCACAGCCATGGTTTTCCTTAGTACATGATCACTGGCTGCCCAATTTCAAGGGTTGTTTCCTGCCTTAGCTCTTAATTCAGTGCATCCAGGTTTGTAATGCCCAATTGAGGTTAGCCAGTATGCCAGGCTATTAAATTTTTCTTTAAATTGCACATAATGAGCTCTAGGAATCCCAATCTGAGCCCAACAGTGCAAGATATTCAGGGCTGAAGTTTGGGATCTCTTTTCCTGTTGCTTCCTTAGTCAGGGCATATGAATTGCAAATCACCTGAGGGGGCTTGGTTCCCTCCCCCTTGGAATCTGTTAGTAGTTGGTCCCACAAAGCTTTGGTGCAATAGAGCAAAAATCAGCCTGGGGAACTTTACTAAAGGTAAGTGGAGGGGATAGACTCAAGTGTAATTCTGAATGGTGTGTGTGTGTGTGTGCATGTATGTGCAGCTACTTTTACAAAATAGTCAATACAAACATTCTGGATCAATTTTCCCTCCCACCAGATAGAAGTCCAAGGTGTTCAGTACTTGTTCTGCCACCTATTCCCAAATGCCATCTCTCCATTAATATATTCAACTGGCTTGTTACAATACAAATGAGTTTCCACCCTCCCCCCACAGTCTAATTTTCTCTTCTGAGGCTTCACATGGCACCACCTTCCTTCTGCAGCTCTCACAGGCATCTGGGTAAATGGTAGGACTTGGGAAGATGTTCCCCACTCAGATTGCATGGTGGCTTTTTAGTGGATGGCTGGATTCAAAACTCAATTCCATGGCTCAAATGGATGGAGGCAGCATCTGGGTCTGTGTGTTCTGCTTCCAAAGGCTTGGGAGAGGGTTTCAGGGCTGAAAGATACAAGAACAAGGTCTCCCCCCCCCCCGCTTTCTGGGTGGACTCTACCAGGAGAGGCAGACAAAAGGTATGGAGAACAAAGGGCAGGAAAAGAATTGGAAGGGGGGTAGCTTGCAGGCAGTTTGAAAATGCTGAAAACTCCAAATAATTTTAAAAGCCTAATATTTTAAGATGTGCAACTTGCCAAGGGTAGGAGAATCTGCCTTTAACATTTATTCTAAAATAGATCACATTATTTTAGAGATTGGAAAATGCTTATGTTTCAGAAAGTTTCATAGTAGTTTCACCAGTAAGTGATAGGATAAGAAAAGTAACTTTAAAAAATTATTTCCCCACACAAGCAGACTTGAGTTTCAAAAGGCTCTTGTAGATAGACACACATTTTTCAGGAAAAGGATAGATAAAACACATACAGTAAATGCAAGTGAAACTTTTCCAACAGATAAACTTAAAACAATTCCTCCTGGTAACTTAAGGTTGTTCTTGAGAGTACACAGAGAGAAAGAGGAAAACAAACAAACAAACAAACACAATTCTTTTTCTTCACTCTGTTGGCCAGACAAACAGAGTGAGGTTTTTCCTTTTTGTGGCTTATTTTAAGCAGAATTTCTAGCAGAATTTAAAATTCTTTTTCCTTTGGATTTGAAACAGTTAATAGTCCCATTTACCTCTCACGCAGACTTTGACAAACATATATATACACAAAGACAAGAGAACAGAAGTCTTAGTTTTACACATCCTAGTCATTCCCACCATAAATTTCAGATAACTCAAGTTAGGGAAGGCACACATTTTAAACATACCACGTGATTGCATAGAGAAGAGAGAGATAGAGAGAGAACCACTATTTCTTATTTTCCCTTTTAAGTACCTTTATTTAGCCAAATTGGTTTCCCAGCAAGGCCCTAAGCAAAGTCTGTATTTTTTTTCTTTTCCCCCATATAGTTTCTTTACCTACCTCTTTTCCATTCCGGCCTGGACAGGTAACTGGTTCCTGTCCCAGGCCACGAGCAAGCTCTCAACCGGGAAACCTACTTCCGCCCTTGAATTAGAACTTTCCATGTTTCTATAATGGGATTTCCCTACCACTAAAGGGCACGATCCGTCAGAAGTCTCCTTGTGAGACTTCTTCCTACTATCACGATTTTGTGAGTCCAAAAAAAGGGGACTCACGGAGCTTCTCTGGATCCCTCTCAGAGTTCGTGGGCTCCTCCGAGGGATCCTCCACGTTTTCAGACCAAAAAGGGGTCTGCAGAGACCTTCCAGTTTCCCTCAGAAGGTACGGGCTACTCTTCCACCGGCCGGCTTTACCCCACCGTTTACGGACACCTCTAATGTCCGTGGGCACCTCCACTTGCTCTCGGAGGTAGGTGGTCGCTCCCTTCCTGAGGCTTAATTTCCTAACTTTGCTTTGCTTACAGGGCCTTACCAGCTAGTTGCCCAAATCCAATTCTTTCATTCACTCATTCCATTTCATTTTCACACAGCCTCTCCCTTTTCCCTAACAAAAGGTTCTGTGCTCTGACCAACCCCCATGCTTTCCAGGTTCTGCCAATTAAACAGATCCTTTCTGCGGCTAGGAAAGACCAGAAGCAGCAAAATCCAACTGTGATTGGGAAAAAAAAGATCTTCTCACTCACCCAAACAGAAATACACATGTTTTCTTTGTTCCCCTGGGCTTTAAACTTAAAATTTAGAGGTACTCACCTTCATCTTCTTTCCAAAGCAGCCCTTGAGCTCAAACTCTCAAAACTCCCTTTGCTACCCTAGCTCCACATGGGCAAGGCCTGGGAAACCCATCCACAGACACAAGGGGGTCTGCTGCCGGCAAGATGGGGCTTACCAGTCTCAGTCCATTGGAGAGGTTAGCTTGGAGTCCCATCTCGGGGTGCCAAATTGTTAGAAGTAAGGTCTTCATCCTGGTTCATCCAAGCCGGGAATAAATAAGCAAACATGGCGACTGCTTTGGGAAGAAGGTTACAGTTTATTGCAGAAAGATGGTCTTCAGGAAAGTACAGAGGAGAGAAGAGAAGCGCTGAGCACATGGGGCAGTAGGCTTTTATACCCCCTCTAGCCTTGCTTGGAATAGTTTCCTGTTCCTGTGGCATGAACCTTGAGGCTGTTTCTGAGTGTTTGTCTAGGCCTTGATATCTGTGGTTTTAATTCTATTATCATATCCTGCTTCCCAGGTGATGGGGCTGACTCCTAGAGTTTGGGTGGGGTATGCAGATCTTCTCTTTTGTCTTCTTGATTGCTCTGGCTTCAACTTTCTGATGGTTTTACATCTGCATTTGTATAGGGCTAAAGTCTTGCTTGGGGCAGAGAGATAGATTTGGGGCCAGGTTTGGTTTTAAAAAGTCCTTTTGAGGAAAAATATATTTTTCTGCCCTTTTTAATATTTCTTCTCTGGGCTAACTTTCATCAGGAGATATTGGTTTTCTATAAAAACTCACGTAAGGCTTACCTAAATCTTTTGCCTGTGCTCATTACCAACATTTATACAGTACATCTGCAGACTAAACTTAAACAGTGCTGTCCTACATAATCTGATTGAGTTAGTACATTTCTAACATTGGGCTAGAGTATATTACTGAAAAATAGCATTGAAAAAGCAATGGTTTCCTTTAATTACATTTATATACCACTATAAATACATTGACAATGTAAAGCATTTGTTAAAACAGCCATATGCAGTTCTGATCAATGAGTTGGTAAATTCACATGTCTAAAAAGGGTTTTCCCCCAAACAAATCAGTTTCCTAAATTAGATTGTCTAAGTGATGATCTAATTCAGAGATCAAATTGGTTTGAAATTCTGAATCAGACTTTTATTTAGATTGACTAGAACCACAGGCTCCGACAAATTTTAGAGTGAAAAATAAATGTATGTGCCTTCTGTGTTTTTGTCTTCTCAAAAACAACTGACTGGATCAATAATAGTGTACCCCAATGAAGAGATCCAATGCTAGCACAGTTCAGTAGTAGCCACTACACAATGTAGTTTGACTTTGATGGTTTTCCAGAGAACTGTGATGTCATTCTGTGTATATCCAAAATATCTGTTAGGCTAAACTCCAATCTGTGGTTTAGGGGAAGAGGAATAAAAATACTGAAATAAGAGTCCATCTTTGGAGACATTAGTATTTTCAATTCCAATAGACCAATCATGTATTTAAAAGTAAGTTATATCTATGCAAGCCTCTTAAAATGGCTCACATTTCTGCAATAATATTGCCGTAACACTTAATTTTATCATCTGGATTATCCTTATCCCTTTATATAATTATTATTTTTGACCATACTACATCTGATTTTATAATAGTCATTTGTATTTTGGCCTCTGTTGTCAGGAATAGTAATATATATATAATAAATATATATAAAATTAGTTTTCGGAGCTTAAAGACATGCTTTTTTCTTTAGGTGACTGTCCTGCTCACACTATTTCTATTCAGCTAGGATGGACACATCTATTAAGGAAGAAAAAATCTCAAAGTAGGGCAACCCTTTTCTATAATTCAAGCATTTCTTTAGGATCTGGCAAAGTTCTGCAAAAGATAACATGCTTTTGAAGACTCTAGTTAATACATTTATATTTACAGAAATACAAGATTTGGAAAAAAACCTGAGTTCTGAAGTTCATGAGCATCTTAGAACACGCCCCTGCATTTAGCTGTTGCTTTACATTATATTGATTTTGTAGACATATTTATGATCAACGCTTCATGTCTTGAGCGATCCTGTTGATTCTTCTTTATCATTTGTATCATCAACCAATCCTTTAAGTCGAGATAAATGATGCAAAGCTCTATGAGAAAAAAAAATATTTTGCTTGCAATGTAAATATACAAAAATATAAAGCTAATGGACAGACTAATCCCACAACAATAGTATTCACACAATTGGTCAAGCTAGAAATTCGTGATTTATTGCGCAATCTATCAAATCCTGGTTCAAACAATAAAGGAGGTATCATACATTATGCTGATCCTGAAACAAAACTTTGTTACCCATTATTAGGTGTGAACCAGACTACTGAATTCCAAGAATTCAGCTCCTAACAGACCAAGTCAATGCTACTACATGTTCCTCGTAATGCAGATTATGTATCTCTAAAAGCATCATTTAATGTGGCTTTGGGGCATTTCTGTTCAAGTTGAAGGATGATTGCTCTTACTCAGACACACCATGGAATGAAAAAAAAAACATAATTGCATTTTTTAAGCCTCTCTCCACATGCATATTTTTAGAGTATGCTGCTGTAGAGAGGATTCACTGGAAGAATCTTGCTGCTCTAAGCGCTTTGCGTGAAAGGAACCAACGATGATGATGAAATGACAGGAGAGTAGCATATGCATAGGTTACAACAAAAAGGGCCCCAAAGATTAATTTTCACCAAGCATCAAAGAATTTGCTTCTAGGCGTCCTTTAGTTCAGTAACATGCTTCCCATCGTGGCCAGTTGGATAACTAAAGGGAAATTTTAAGTGCCTCATCAAAGGGCTAAGAAATCCAATTTAAGATTTAACAAACAACTTCCTCCCCATACAATCCAGGTTTAAAAATAACATAATAAATAATTATACATTGGTTTGTTGTGTAATTTAGGAGAGCCCAGTGATAGTTTTTTTAAAAAAAAAATCTCGCCATTTTAATAGGACCCATTACAAAGTACAAGTAATCCTCAACTTACAAGTATTCATCTAGTGCAGGGGTCTTCAAACTTGGCCCTTTTATGACTTGTGGACTTCAACTCACAGAATTCCTCAGCCAGGCACGCACATGGAAAATGGAAATAATGCACATGAGGTCATCTTAGGCTGGGTTACTGGCATGAAACCTAAAACTCCAGGTCAGGGATCTTCAAACTTGGCAACTTTAAGACTTGTGGACTTCAACTCCCAGAATTCCTTAGCCAGCCCTGGTTGGCTGAAGAATTCTGGGAGTTGAAGTCCACAAGTCTTAAAGTCGCCAAGTTTGAAGACCCTTGTCCTAGATTATGGCACCGGGAGAAGATTGCTTCCAAGCATCAACTGCAACCAAGGCAGTTGGGAATCTCAGCCTCTGAATGTCAGCACTTCTTACCTCTGAAGAGATTGGGCCACAGGGATCATATCACAATCGCCCAACTTGAAGTCTTCATCTTTACTTGAAACCTAAAAAAAGAAAAGAAAAAAGGAGGAAACTTTGCTCAATAGCATAATCCAACATTGGGATTTTTTAAAATTATCATTTCTCCTGTAGGGAAAATCCAAAGTCAAGTTTAAAAAGCCATTTGACTTTCCAATGTATTGACAAATAAGGATGCTTCATTGTTTAGCTTACTCAAATTTAAATATTTGGAGCCATGAATCCCATGAAAAAGTATTTGCCTCCTTTCGGATTTCTGAAAGGTGTCTTTGGCACTGAATGTTATCAATGATTCATTTAAATCCTGATGGATGAGAAGATACAAGGAAGTCTAAGCAAATAAGTAACAGTAAAGGACGGTGCCTGTTTCAATTATTTCCTAAAGAAAGCTTCTCAAACTGCAACATGCCTGTGTGAACATCTAATCTAGATTTAATCATCGGTTGCCCAATCTTTTAGCTGTTAATATTTCCTGTAACTGACGATCAGTTTTTCACATCATTTTGCCTGGAAAACTGCTTCAGTTCAGTAACCTCTTGAGGGTTTTCTAGCACGAACAGCTCATTTCAAAGCCTGCCACAACACTTCTCTGACTTAGGCATTGTGAAACACAGTGTTTCTGTGTTTGGGAACGCTGTTTGCCTGAGCCAGTGTCAGTGGTAAACCACATGGCTTGACGGTCCCCTTTACCATTGCCTGGTAGGCTGAAGTCCTGCTTTCTTCAATAATGATCTATTGCGCAGGTCCTCCAGAGGATGCAAATACTTCTACCATGCTTGACAACTGGTTATGAGACTCTTAAAGGTAGTCTCTGACTTACAACCACAATGGAACATGCCCATTATAGTTGTAAGTTGTGATGGGCTTAAAGTGGGCCAGCCGCATGCCCTACCTGGCCTGTTTCACAGTGGCCGTTAAGGGAATCAACTTTCGCTATGGGCTAGGTTTGCTAAAAACTGGAAGTAAATGCAGGCTTGGGGCAAAAATGTTGCAATGCTGCAAATGGCTGTAAATGTGTCCTGGTTACTGAGCATTTGAGATGCAGCCGCGCGATTGAAGGATTAATAATAATAATAATAATGATGGTGATAATGATGATGATGATATTGGAAGGGACCTTGGAGGTCATCAAGTCCAACCCCCTGCTCTGGCAGGAAACCCTATTCCATTTTGGACACATGGCTGTCCAGTCTCTTCTTAAAAACTTCCAGTGTTGGAGCATTCACCGCTTCTGGAGGCAGGTTGTTCCACTGATTAATTGTTCTAACTGTCCGAAAATTTCTCCTTACTTCTAGGTTGCTTCTCTCTTTGGTTAGTTTCCATTCGTTGCTTCTTGTCCTGCCTTCAGGTGCTTTGGAGAATAGCTTAACCCCCTCTTCTTTGTGGCAACCTTATAGGTTGGGGAGAGCTGTTGGAATTTCAGATCTGGGCTAAGTACCATTGGGCAGGTCTGTTGTAACTTCGAACAGTTACAAAGCAACCAGTTGTAAGGCGAAGACTACCTGTACAGGTAGTCCTCAACTTATAACAATTTGTTTAGTGTCTGTTTGAAGTTATAATGACGCTGAAAAAAGTGACTTATGACCGCTTCTCACACAACCACTGCAGCATCCCCATGGTCACGTGATCAAAATTCAGATGCTTGGCAACTGGCATGTACTTATGACGGTTGCATTGTCCTTATGATCACCTTTTGCAACCTTCTGACAAACAAAAGTCAATGGGGAATCCAGATTCACTTAGTATTTGGGTTACTAACAACTGCAGTGATTCACTTAACAACTGTAGCAAGTAAGGTCATAAAATGGGGCAAAACTCATTTAACAATTGTCTTGCTTAGCCACAGAAATTTTGGGGTCAATTATGGTTGTAAGATGAGGATTACCTGTATTGGGGAATGTAGGGTTTTGTTTCCTTCTGGCATAACACCCACAGAACCCTACAAGTTCCATTTCTCTAACTTTTTTCTGTATAACAGGCCTTGGGGTTTTTATTGTTGTTGTTGTTAAACTGAAGTGTTAGCAATTGTCTGTGAGCCAGGCATGACCTGCCTCTTTAATTATAGTGAGAACTTTACAGAGATGTGAGAAAATAGTTGAAGTTTGTTTTGATTACAGGGCAGGGTTGGCTCAAATCATATCTAATTGTTCAGTGGCCATAATTATCTCGTTAACTAAATTGATCAAACAGGTATGTTATTTTTCTTTGTTTTGATTATTCAGTGCATCCCTGCATTTCTGTTTATTTCTATTCTCAAGGTAGCTTACAATAATAAAATAAAATTCAATGAATACGTATAAAATGAACATCCAATCAAGCACTCATATCATTAACAATTAAAAGTTTGGGAACAGAGATGAGTTTAACCATTGTCTTAAACAGTGAGAAAGTCAGAACTCGGGAGGCTAAGAAAATGGGGTGAGAGGTCCCCTTGTAGCATCTTTTCTCATCTCCTGAGGTCCTTTCCCCTATGCTTGTCATACTTACCACCATTTTCATTATCTGGCTCCTTCCACAGTAGGAGGAAGAATCCTGAAGACAAACCACTTTGCAAAGATTTGCCTTAACTCTGATGGAATATTACTCATAGATGCTGCCACATAAGACAGGGAGACTTTTATGTCTCCTGGAGCTTAGAGGAGGATGAGGGACAAGTTGTTATTGCCTGCCCCCTCTTTTCATACTCAAGGACTGCTGGCCCATCCAGTTTTCTGGGTTTGAAATGGAAGGCCATCATTGTTAGTGCTGCCTGGCCTAACTATGGTCCTTAAGGCTGAAAGCAGCTTGAGACAGGTTGCCTATTTGGGGGAAAAAAGATGCTGGTAGCTCATCCCCTACATCAGGGGCGTCAAACTGCTGGCCCGTGGGCCGGATGTGTCATGCCGAAACCACGCCCACCCCAGCTCTGGCAATGGGAAAAACGTCGCAATATATCGTGACACGTCATGTGACGTGGCGAGTTTGACTTCCCTGCCCTATATACTCATGCTACCTACATGCGCCCTGCCCAAACTCCTGCTTTTTTTCCTTGACACTTGTCAACCTGTAGACCTCCTCTCTTTGGTTCTTCCATGAGGAGAAAAAGGATGGTGAAAATGGATAAGGAATCTCCTGGCATACCATCACTTGGGGCTCTGGATCTCATGTTTTCCAACTGGTTTCAGATGTTTCCATCACCGAAAAAAGGCCCTCCCATGGATCCTTATTTTGATCTCCCTCTTGGGTCGTATATATTTTTCCACCTACACTTTGCCTACCATGTATTGCATTAGCATACTTGATTTTGTTTCATCTTCTGCCTTTTTTCTTTCCCCCTTTCTGTCACTCTTTTATGTTTGTGGGGTGGGTGGAAGTGCAATATGACGTTGTTATTGTCTCAAAATGGACCTTAAAGGAGATGCTTTTATCTTCTAAAAGGCAGAGCTGTAGGGCTACATCAGGTGATAGAATGAAAAAAAAAAAGCACCAAACTATAAGGTAACTATTGCACTCTGGTTCCAATAATTTATCAGTAGGACTCACTGGCAAAGATATGCAAAATATTCAGAGAAGCTAAAAGAAAGTGATTTTTTTTTCTCCACAGAACTGTACTATATAGTGTAAAGACAGAAGCACACGTGGATTTTTCCTGCATGGGTGCTTGGACATAGCCATCCATTGATCTGTCTGTCACCTTTGGGAGAAAATGTCAAAGCCTCACCACCCAAGAATAAATCTAGGAACTCAGACCTGCAGTCAGGAACTAATAGCGCAGAGCCAGATGCAGATAAGCATACAATACAGAGAATCTTACACAGAGCTGCTTACTTTTGGGGATTCTTCATTTGGTCTGTCGGATTTGTTTTTGTGAAAGCTATGCTGAACTGCTTGAAGGTTAAACAGCATGAGTTTCAAAGCTTCTACAGGACCATGATGATTTCCACCCGAAAATGTGTTCTCCTGGAATCAAAGAAAGAAAGACTCTGCCTATCAAAACAAACCTGAAAAAGTTATCTTTCCCAAATGAGAGTTTTGGACTGTGATATCAAAGTGAATTTTCCCCTTAGATTTACTTCCTATTACCTATAAAGAACCTTCTGCAGTCTCTGTAGGAAATCTCTTCTTTAGCCTTTGCTCTGTCCTAAGATAGAAATATTATATTCAATCATATATTTGAAGCCTAGAAGTTAAGATGTCTAACCAAGACATTCTCTTTAAGCCCTGGGCATTTGGACAACATTGGTACTTAAAACAGAAGTATGGTACCATGAATCCCTCCAGAATATGAGCTTTTCTGGAATTAAAGGTACATCAAGGTAGTTGAGGGAAACAGCACAAATGATTGCAGGTTATATGCTAATGGTAAACAATTGGAACAAACAGATTAACCTGTATATTTTTTACAAAATATTTAGTAAAGATGAAAAAAAATGAAGAGACATTTTAAGATGTACAAATGCTGAGAGAAAGATAACGGACAATATTCTGTCTGTTATGAGGATTTAATGTTTGTTGCAATAAATGGAAAAATGCCTTAGTATAAGAGCTTGTTTTTCCTATAGTTATATGGAAGCAAGAGTGGGTTATGTCAGGCAAAAGATAAAAGCAAGCTGTCCATGGTAGTAATGAGATATTTAAGAATTGTGTGGCTAAAAGTATGATCAGGAAAGAGTGCACGATGAATGAATACGAACTGAATGCCAGAGTGAATGACCAGTATAAAATAAGTATTCTGAATTTATTTATTTATTGGTTATACGGAAAGAATGAAAGAAATGCAAACATGTAGGAAGGAAGAAAGGATAGACTGAAAAGTTGTGATTGGATGAGTTGATGACAGATCCAAGGGAGATGAGATGATTAAAGTACAAAAAAAAATCCACAAAAATAATAGGTGTATGGACAAAGTAAAAATGAGGAACGGAATAAAATTATGCAGAAGTTGAGGAAATCTAGATTTAAATTTCCTTTACTTTTATATTTTGCCTTTAATTGATTTTGCTTACTGTTTACTTTCCTTTTGCACTCTGCCTAGCACTTCTTATCTTGAAAGAAAACAGTGTGATAGGTATGTACGTATATCTAATTCTTATGTCAGCATTCCTGGCTTTATTGTTGCCTCAATGAAATTGACAGCATTCACCCACATACCTAGCTAGTACTGACAATTGTGCAAACTCTTTGGAAAGCCCTGCTTTAACTAATGCAAGCTTAATATTAATGTTCATCATGTTTTATTTACCTGTTGACCATTCTGCAAACAGTCTTCTAAAAAATTATTGACCATGCTGGCCCTGGGGTTTGGTGGAGAATTCTCCTCCATATAGGATATAGGTACCGGAGATTTTCTGTACATAGAAATGTAGAAGTTAGGATCCTGAAGTAAGAAGCACTTTTTTCTGCATTATGTTTATACACTGTACAGTAACTGGAAAAAAAATCTTTACAATCCAAGAATAGCCCAATGCATAAATATATTCATAAATTCTAATCATTCTGTTTTTCCCTTCAATTTTTAGCTCTTTCATTGTTATTGGCTTTGAGAGCTCTAACTACTGTTCCTTTCAAACTGATCAGATAGACCCTCATTAACACCCTCACCTAAAAGACATCCTTTTTGGTAGCTTTAATCTCAACTAGGAGCCTTGGACAACTAGGGGCTTTCTCGGTATGAAGGCATCCATGCAAATTCCATCAAAACAAGGCGATGCTACGCCTGGATCCTTTTTGTCACCAAGGTCACTCTCAGATTCCATTGAGCCCACGAGACTGAGCTTCCCAATTTCTTCCAGACCTACCCATCTGATAAAATGGCACCAGATAAATGTCTGCAGGTTATTAATACCAGAGATGTAACATTGAGGGCCAGAGGGATAAAGGATTATTTGTCCCCAATAGAGCAAGAAAACCAGGAAGATATCCATCCTCAACTAGTGGGTCAGAGAATGCATTGCTTTCATATACACAACCAGCAAGATATGGCATCACAACTTCTACCCTCGGGGGAGCAGCTACATTAACAGTTCTACTTCCAAATGCAATAGTAAGAGGCATTTGAAATGTGGGGAAGAGCCAAATCATCTAAGTTCATTAGAAAATAGGTGAATTTGCCTTCCTGCTATACAATACCCATTTCTTGTGTCAGTTCCATCCTTCAACACTAAGAATGGTATTAGACTCACTATGAAGTGCCATTCTGGTCATTGATGAGGGACCAGATGATCCCACCCTATCAGAAGGACTCAGGAATCAGAGATAGTTCTAGCAGCTAAAGCTTTAATCATTAGCTACTTCGATGTGCTATTGTAATTGCTTGTTTTTTGGTGCCACTTGATGGACAATGAAATGCACAAGGCCAGAATGGCTAGAAAGTATTAAAACCGCACAGGCAGATTCTCAGCTGCCATTTCCCCAACTCCCCAATTCTTCTAAAGAGTCTGTCTCAGCTTTACTATCCTCTTTGAAAAAAATTATACTTTAAAAATGCAACTCAGTTCTTAGCAGAATTTCCTAGGAGAGGGAGCAAAATAAACAGATGTCAAAATGAACAAAGAATTACTGACGTGCATTTTATCCTGTGGCTTTGTTGCTGGGCAAATGGCTGCAGGCCACTTGTCACCTTGTTGACTAAGCAGGAGTGCTTATTCGTGGTGTGGGTTTCAGGGAGAAGCAAAAAGGTTTTGGAGTGGAGTTCAGGGAAAGGAGGATCTCATGGAAAGGGTCTCCAGGCCATAAAAAATTATTTTTCTCTCCTGCCTTTTGTTAAGTACCGCAAACTGCTGAGGTAGGCTGATGAATACAGCACGCGTTCATTATGTTGTGAGGAAAATAAGAGGAGGAAGGTATTATGGTTCTGACAGATGAAACTCTTCAAAAGAACTTCGAGGCATTGTTTACCTTAAAGAATCTTTTATTCGAGTAGTATAATATCGGCACTGCATAATTGAAGCCAAAAACTGAATTCCCCTCCCCTGGGCACATAGTATCAAAGCACAATTCCCTCCTCCAATTAACCGTCATAAATCACATTCCCCAATTAGTTTGAAGCCTTCCTCTTCAGTTCTCCAGCCCACCAATTCCTTATCAGCTCTGGGCTCAATAACCTTGATTCTCACGCTAAGTTTAGTGTTATTATGTCTAGCTAGACCACAGGTCGGCAACCTGCGGCTCCGGAGCCGCATGCGGCTCTTTGAGCTTCCCCCTGTGGCTCCCAGCCTCCTCTGCCTTTGCAGAGAGAGACAGAGACAGAGAGAGGCAATTGCACTTCCCTGATTCTCTCTCTCTCTCTCTCTGTGTGTGTGTGTGTGTGTATGTGTAAAAGAGAGTGCACTCACAGTGTTCTCCGAGGAGCTGAAAAGCTTTCTGGGCGGAGCTCCTCCCTTTGCTGCATCTCTGAAGGAAGCAGGAAGGGCAGGAGAGAGCTAGCTAGCCCAGCTAGGCTGACTCAGGAATTCTGGGAGTTGAAGTCCATGAGTCATAAAAGAGATGAGGTTGCCTACCCCGGATGTTGTTGGGCAACAGCTTGAAGCTTGCCAGGTGAGCAGCAGATAGGAGGGGGGGGAGAGAAAGAGAGAGAGAGAAAGGAGAGAGAGAAAGAGAGAGAGAGGGAGAGAGAGTGGGGGAAGAGGAGTGGCAGACCAAGGGCAGATAGAGAGGGAGGGAGAGAGAGACCCTTTTGACATCTAAAATGAAGATAACACTGCATATATCCTTTTTTTACCTGTGTGTGTATGTAATTTTATTCTCTTAAAGCATTCTCTTGGTGATCATTGTTTTACTAGTATGGATATTCCCAAGAGTCATATTTTTACTTTTATTTTTAATGTGTATATGTGTGTGTGTGTCTGTCTCTCTCTCTCTCTGTGTGTGTGTGTGTGTATATATATATATATACACACACACACAAACACACACACACATACACACACCTATAATAAAGGTAAAAAAGGATATATGCAGTGTTATCTTCATTTTAGATATAAAAAGGTTTTTGCGGCTCCCAGTGTTTTGTTTTTGGTGGGAAACGGGTCCAAGTGGCTCTTTGAGTGTTTTGGGTTGCCTACCCCTGAGCTAGACTCTCATTCACACACCCCTTCCTCCCGGCATCATCTAACTCTAAAAGCGAAAGGGAAAAAGATGGCTACATTTCCATCTGTTGTCAATGCAAAACATCCGATGTTAGCAGCGTTGACAGAAGGTATATTGCTGCCTTATTTGAAAAAAAATAATAATAAAGGTGGGATACAAATAAATAACAAAGTCTGGCCATAATCTGGCTGACTACAGGTAATCCTCGACTTACAACAGTTCACCTAGTGACCATTTGAAGTTACAATGGCTCTGAAAAAAAGTGACTTATGACCATTTTTCACACTTGTGACCCTTGGTCACATGATTTACATTCAGATGCTTGGCAATCGACTCATATTTATGAGTGTTCCAGGATCATGCGATCACATTTTGCAACTTTCTGACAAGCGAAGTCAATGTGTAAGCCCAATTTGCTTAACAGCTGTGTTATTAATTTAACGACTGCAGTGATTCACTTAACAACTGTGGTGAGAAAAGTCGTAAAATGGGGCAAAACCCGCTTAACAACTGTCTCACTTAGCAACATAAATTTTGGGCATTAATTGTGGTTGAAAGTGGAGAACTACCTATATTTGTTTAGTGTCTGCTTGCAGTTACGACGGGGCTGAAAAAAGTGAGTTATGCTCGGTCCTCAGCCTTACAATCACTGCAACATACCCACAGTCATATATATAATTGCAATTTGGGCACTTCGACAACTGGCCATGCATTTACAATAGTTGCAGCATCCCAGAGTCATGTGATCACTGCTGGTGACCTTCCCAGCCAGCTTCCATATGGAAACTCAAGGGGGGACTTGAGCAGGTTTTGCTTAACAACCACACAATTCATTTGACCATGCGATTGGTGTAATGACTGTGGGAAAAAGGTCATAAAACGAGGCACAGTCACCTGATGACTTGTTAAGTAACAACATTTAATGATGGAAGTCTGAGGGCTACCTGTATGCTCAAAACCTGCCAAGAAAATATCTTACTTTACAAAGTTCCTTCCAGGATCCTAACTATGCTCCTCCTTATTTTTTGTCTCTTCAAGAAGACTTTGTTTATATGAGCAATGCTGGTGCTTTCAGTTACTCTCTTACAGCCCAGGTTGCTTCGAAAAATTTACTGAGCTTACTTGAAAGATGCTGAATGGATCTGCACAGACATAGAGTACACAGAGAAGGTGCCACTTGCATTGCATTCCTCACTAGGTAGTTATGCCTCTCATAATGGTGAAAACATTCAATCAGAATAGAGCTGGAAGGACCTTTGAGGTCTTCTAGACCAGGGGTAGGCAACCTTGGCTCTTGCTGGCTCAGGGATTCTGGGAGTTGAAGTCCACGAGTCATAAAAGAGCCAAGGTTGCCTACCCGTTCTAGACCAACCCCCTCCTCAGGCAGGAGACGCTATATCATTTCAGACAAGTGACTGTCCAATCTCTTCTTAAAAACCTCCAATGATGAAGCATCTACAACTGCTCATGGAAAGATGTTCCACTGGTTAATTGCACACTGGAATTCACATACTGGAATCACAACAAGCAACAGTGACATGAAACCCAACTGCTTACTATTTTCATGGGAGGCCACAAGGGAAGTGGGAAAAACTTCCCTGGAATAAGGCAGTATCAAACAACTTCTGTCATGTTAAAAGAGAAAACTATATGGATATGTCCATGAAGCCACCCGGAGTTGAATGTAACTCAAAAGAGTTTATCACACCTATCCAATCACAAAGAGATTGGGAAATAAATAAAAAAGCACTATTTCCATTACATCCACATTCTAGTATCTTATCTGTTACCTTTGTATCTCCAAACTGGGTGGTGTAATAAGTTATGTGTGCATGTGAATATGTGTATATTTGACTCCAAAAGTTATATTGCTAAGCAAGACAGTTAAGTGAGTTTTCCCCATTTTCAACCTTCCCTGCCACAATTGTTAAGTGAATCAGTGCAGTTATTAAGTTAGTGAATCTGGCTTCCCGATTAACTCTGCTTCTCAGGTTGCAAAAGGTGACCACGTGACCCTGGGATACTGCAACTGTCATAAATACAAGCCAGTAATCAAGTGTCCGAATTTTGATCCTATGACCAAGGGGATGCTGCAACGGTTGCAAGTGTGAAAAACGGCCACAGGCCTCTGTTTTCAGTGTCAATGGCTAACAAACTGGAGGGGGGTGGGGGTGGATGGGGAAGTAACTCTGCATTTCTCAACTCTTTTTTTTGTTGTCCTCTGACCTTGAATATTGACAGCTCTTTCCCACGGCATTAAATGTGGAAACTAGAGTATAGGTTCCTAAAGTAAACAAATCACATGTTCAAAGAAATAACACAGAAGTCTTTCTCAAACACAGCCCTGCCCACAAGCTTGACACAGTTCCTGGCCATTACTCGTGTCACTCTTGACCTTCAAAAAGCATTGTACGGTCCTGTAACAGAAATCCTGAGAATGTAGTAAGCACAAAAGGAATAACCAGTTTATGAATACATAAGGAGGCTTGGCTCCTGACACAGAGAAAATGGACACAAATCTTCAAGGAAATTATTGGTCCATTGAGAAATACTGAGCCAATGTTAACTGTGTGGGTAACAGGGACTGGTTGGTTATAATAGCAGCGAAGAGTTCTGTGGACGCCACTTGCAATTGGCTAGCTTCTCAAGCTACTAAGAAGTGAATCTGGAACTCTTTGTTCCTGTCTTAATACAATGAACTGGAGACAACGAATGGAGCTAAATGGCTGAGGAGTCAGGAAAGATAGAGCATATGGTTAAGCTACAAATGCACTTGTGAAAGAGGTGACTTTCAAAGGGGGAGTGGACAAACTCATGAAGAATCTGGCTTCACCATTATGACAACAGGATCCAGCAGTGGTCTTCTTAGATTTCTTGTACAAGCACCATCTTTTTATCACATTCAGGTAGGTTGAAGAAGCTGATATTAGTCAGGCTATTGCTGAAGAGTCCCACTCTGTGTATCCATAAAAAAACTTAATGGGGTTCTCATATACTCACAAACCAATTGGAACATTATCCCACAATCTTTCTGCTTCTAGTATATCCATTGTACAAGGACTGCCATCATTTTTCAGGAGACTAGTTGATTCCTCAACCAAAGGTTCCAGTGCCCTCCTTGCTTTCTGAATTAGTTTTTCTGTGTCATCTAAAATAATTATAAATGTCACAATTAAAAAATGTCACATATCATGGCTGATACATATTGCATATTATTTCAAATAAATACGAGTGTCTAAAGCAGGTTTAGGAGCCCTCGGGGAACAGTGGTTAGAATACAGTATTTCAGGCTAATTCTGCCCATAGCCTGGAGTTTGATCCTAATGGGGCTCAAGGTTGACTTAGCCTTCCATCCTCCTGAAATCGCTAAAATGAGGACCCAGATTGTTGGGGGCAATATGCTGACATTGTAAACTATCCAGAGAGTGCTGTAAAGCACTGTGGGGCAGTATATAAGTGCTATTGCTATAATCAGCCTTAGCAATTTTAAGACCGGTGGATTTCAGCTCCCAGAAATCCCTAATCAGGCCCAACCCAAGAAGAATTCTAGGAGTTGAAATCGACAATTGCACTTTATTTATTAAACTACTTCTAAATAAACCATGCTTCTTCACAGTATCTAAACCCAATCACTATTATGCCACATTCCCAAAAGTTGACAAAATCTGACACCAAAATAAATGCTATTATATGTTACCTATAAGTGGATCCTTTTGCTCCCTTAAGCCCTGTAGTAGAAAACAGGCACTTGGACAATCTTTTTGGCAATTTGTTTGAGTATCACACTCGTGCTTCAGGCTCCCCACATCATTATGTCTTGAGCACTCAGGAGAGCTTAATCTATTAAAATATTGAAACTCCATCAGCTCCTCATTATTTTGCAAAGACAGATGCTCACTTTCCAGATGTGAGGTCTGCGTAGAATTTTCATTACTTGAATCCAATAAGAGATTATGATTCTTCAGCCAGATGGGATATTTGGATTCAGGAATACTACTTATGTCTGAAATGCTCAACTCAGTTTTATAGTTTGTCAGCCATCTTGGATAATTCTTATGAAACACAGTCTCTCGGTTGGCAAGCTGGTCATTCCCAGGTAACAAAGAATCATGTCTGTGAAATTTATATTGTGTACCCTTTTTTCTGCTAGCTTCACAGTATGAGGAGGGAAGCAAGGAATTTTTCAAAGAATCTTCTTTTTCTTTATCATTGGAGGACGAAGTCCAGTGATGAGAACAAGAAGCAGATGTTCTCCATGACCTCCTGTTCACATTACCTCTCTGAGCTAATGACCTAGAAATCTTGAAAGAGAGGGAACCATCTGCAGGAAATGCTAAAAGATCATCTGTAGTCAGACTGACTATATCTGGCTCATAAACAATTCTTTTTCTCAGACGTGTATGCTGCTTGACATTTTCTAAAACAAGAAGAGACGTAATTTGACTTAAACTACAGGTTCCAAGCAAGGAAATATTTCAAAAGGTACTTGCAATCATTCCTGTCAGCCAGCCAACAGAACATTCTATGCCAGTGATGGTGAACCTTTTAGAAACCGAGTGCCCAAAAACCGCCCATTGCCCCCTCTCCGCCTGCTCAGATCATGGGTGATATCAAATGATGGTCTGGGCACCATATTCTTTAAAGTCTGAAATTTTGAAGATTTTAGTTATTTCAAATTAAAATTTCATAGGACAATGCTGAAATCTTGGGAGATTCGCTGCTAACGGAAGCCCTACATTTTCTTGAAAAACATACACTTTTTGTCAAATACTTCTACCTTTCCTACCTGAATGCAAATACACTATTTTCACTGTTTCATCACGTAAGTATAACATAACATAAATGTGCAAAGACAAAATAATACCACAAATTAGTGTCCAACATTTCAAGTTATATTACTGGTTAGATGACTTTGAGACAGCGGCTCATTCTTAGCCCAACCATTCTCATGGGGTTGTTTCTTGCAGAAAAAAGAAGCTGAGGCATAATGTACATTGCTTTCATGTCTACAAAAAACAGGCAATATATGAATGTAATAATAATAATCGCTAACAATAAGAATATGAATTGATCCTCATTATATCAACTACATGGGTTAGCTTTTAGTTATAATTTCCATAGAACGTATCACCAACCCATATTAAAAAACACAAATGCACTACAAAATAAAGAATCCAAATAAATTTAGATACTTTTACAAAATCAAGCCGATGAAGAAGATGAAGAGGAGGCGGAGGAAGAGGAAGTCATCAGCTACATGGCTTAGCTTTCACTTATATTCTCTATGAACTGCATCACCAATTCATATTAAAAGAACCACAAATATACATAACAAAGGAAATACAAATAACACCAAAATTGTTTAAGGGACGTAAGAAAGTGTGTGAGTTGGATATAGGGAGATGGATAACATAAAAATTTAATAAATAAATGTAATAAATAAATGAATAAATAAGAAATACATGTTAGCCTGACATTTGGATGCTATTTTCAAAGTGACCTCTAGTAGAGGTAAAGATTACTCCCCACGTACTTTACTGAAAAGGAAAACACACACACACATACCACATTTGGGCTCAAAATCATCTTTTGAGGATTTGAAGTTTTCAGGAGCCCTTGGAAGAATTTCAATTTTTCCAGGTCTGACGTCAGGCGATGAAAGACTGAGATTGAAATCTTTAATATAGGCCTCTAAAGCTTGAGAGGCAGAACTATACAGTTTGTCCTTGTATTGGACTGAACTGTGACTCAAGGAGACATGGTCACTCTGAAAGTTACCACTTGCTAGAAGAGATGACACAGTTGTTTCCGGAGAACAGATATTACTTTTCTTAACCAAACAGGACATTACTTTTCACTCAGGGGCCTTCTGCAACTTCTCCTGAAGCTTTCAAGAACTGTCATTAAGCAAGAAAATATAGATTTTGAGAGTCACTCTGAGACACAGTAATATATTTTCAAATCTGCCATGATTTTCACATTTAACACTCCCCCCAAAGAGAAGGTATTTTGTTTAAATTATTTCATTTATAGTTTATATTGACTGTAGTAGTTTTATAGTGCTGTAGATATCCTGTACAGTTAATGACAGAAAACCAGAATGATATTTTTACTAAATTGGACAGCAAAAAGTATTTTCTTGTCAAATTAAATCATAGTCCTGAGTTAGAAATTAAACTATAGTTAGATACACCTATTTTGTCCCATGGTGCTCACTGGCTTGTGAGAATTATGATAAATTACAGATTTCTTAAAAAAAAAATCAAGAAGATGCTATGCTGATTTTATACTTAACATTTTATAAGAAGAGGAATATATAGTGAATGAAGCAGAGGAAGAACAATTGCCAGCAATTCACTGTTGGCTGTTCTAAGTATGGAAAGTTTGCTACTTTAGCATTTTGTATTTATCCAGGCAATATGGCTTGCAAAATATAATATATGGCTTACTATATTGTGTGAACCCAGTCAATTGTGATTTATTTCATAAAGCAGCTATAATTAACACCTCAAACCAGACATCTCTTATTATTGTTCAATCAGCCAGATAGACTGGTTTTGACATTTTTATTCACCTGAATTCTTCCCCAAAACCTGAGATAGTTGTTTGTTGTTTGATGGTGTTAAAGATATTATCACAAGATGTAAGTTGTTACAAGTAAAGCTGCCTCTTGCAATTGACTGATGGGGATTTTGTGAATGCAGATGTTCAAGAGGTGCTGTAAATATTTTGAGATTGCACCCAAGGCATCTATTATTATTGGTACCATCTTTGCTTTTTTGGTCCTATTTTAAATTATTTCAATTAACACTATTAATAATAATCCAAATTATTATTTAAAATAAATTTAATTAATTAAATTGATAATTAAAAATATCATTATGGTTGGTTGCATAATTAGCCAAATGTTTAGACCGGATTTGGTATTTTTATCCAGCGATCAAGTCCTTTCCAGGACCTTGGATAGGCAGATGCTGTTATTTGATAATGTTAAAGGTACTGCTTTTAATGCCAATAATGTTCAAGTGGTGCTCCAGTTGTTTTTGGAATGCATCCATGGCACTTATTAAAATAAAAATATTATGGATTACCAGATTCTGTAACAACTTTGTTCCCTATGCCATCTGTCTGGTAAACTCCCAAGATTCATTTTTCTTGCATGTACATGTATACATTCGAAATAGATTGTGTTGTTTCCGTGTCATAGAATATATGTGTGTATATGCAATTTTTTTCTTTTTTTTGATCATATTTATGTAGTGTATATTGGAGGTGGTGATCCTTTCAGAGCTATATGTAACAAAATTTCATTTTAATGTATGCCGATTAGTTACATTTAAAGTGATAATAACGTTATTCTATTCTATTCTGTTCTATTCTTATGGTTCATCATACAATCAGCCACATGTTCAGACTGAATTTGGCATTTTCTTCCACCTATCAAGTCCTTCCCAGATGTTGATATTTGATGGTGTTAGAGATATAGTAGCAGGATGTCAGCTGTTCCAAGCAAAGCTGCTTTTTGCAATTGTAAGTAAATCTCACAACAGTCCAATATTATGCAGATCTGTACATCCATCAAATTCAACTGCTGAATCAAATCCTGAACAAGAATCCTTGAGATAATAGACTTACTCAACTGTTCATAGTCAATTATATATTTCTTACATGCTCCTAAGATTAACTCCATGCTTAAACCATCAATTTAGTTCCCTTTACGAGAAAATAACCTAAAACCGTAACCCTATGCAGGGGTGCCTGGGCTACTAGATCCAGAAGCCACATGAAGATATATCTCAGAACATATACAGAGGTTTTTTTAGTCTCACAAGCTTTGCTGTTTTTAGATCTGAGAGGGATTTTTAGCAGTTTCAGAGGTCAGCCTAATTCTGTCAGGGATCCTCCGGCCGCGTAAAAAAAAAATAAAAATACAACCACTCTCCCCCCTTGACCTGACCTGCATCACCGGCGGAATTTCCTCCGTCTCCCGCCCGCCGGTTTTGAAAACGCATCACCTCCCACCTACGCCAATGGCGCCGGCTGGACTCGAAGACGCATGCTCCGTCCCTGCCGCGCGTTCATTGGCTCACGCGAGGCAGCGAAGAGCTTGGAACCACAATTCCCAGGAGGCATCGGGGCCGAAGGCATCACAATGCCGGCCAGCCACACCGCCCTCTCCTGCTGCGATTTCGCAGTTACAGCTGGCAGCCGGGGAGGCGGAGGCGGTGAAGGATGCTCGGAGGTGAGGGCGGGTGCCATGGGCATTGTAGTTATGTCCGGGTATGGGACTTTAATGCCAGGAGCGGGTTGCCTTCGGTCCCTTTCGTCCAAGCCAAGCGGGGACCTCGAGAGACTGGGAGGATCACAGCTGCCCGGCGCATTTGGAAAGCAGCAGCGTCAAGAAACTCGCACAAGACAGTTTGCACTTCTTTCAAAGAAATAAAATTGCCAGCACGGTTTGATGGCAGTTTGTCCTGGAAAAAAAAAACATTTGATGGCAGTTTGTCCTGGAAAACTCTTTCCCTGATCTCAGGTATCCTTAGAGTTTGATGGCACTGTCTTAGGGCTTCCTGGTGGTCTCCCATCTATTCTGACCCTACTCAAGTATTAGTATGTCCTGCTTTTAAAAAAAAAACTGAGCTGGGGTTTAAGAAAATCCCAGGAGCCTGGACTGGAGGATCAAAGGAACTTTCTGGGAGAAGTCAATAGCAAACCACTTCATGCTGCAGTCAAGAAAACAATATAACAGTGGTGGCGAACCTATGGCACGCGTGCCAGAGGCGGCACTCAGAGCCCTCTCTGTGGGCACGCGCGCCATGCCCCAGAGATGGCAACTGTCCCTCTTCAAGCGGCCGCCCGCTAACTCGCTGAGGTCCCATGTGGCCAGATGAATCCCAGTATGGCTGGTTTCCCTCCCCCTCAGTCCTGTCCTGTCCCTCCTGGCCTCGCGTGCTCTCCTTTTCCCAGGCACAACCCACTGCATCACAACCTCAACTGTCGGCCGGCCGTCAAGCTTAGAGGTGGCTTCTCTGAACTGCTGGCAGTGGGCTGCGAAGCCCCAGAGTGTGCCAGTCGAGGGGCTGGTAGACTCTGGCTGCTGATGGACACTGTCAGCCCCCATGTGCTCACTGGCCTCTGTGTGTGGGAGCTGATGGTGTCAGGCAGCAGCCACCCTGGCCCCTGCCTCGCCTTGCCCCGTAACAATGGCATCCCCACCCTGCCTCACCTCCCCTCACCCCGCAGGACGAGCCTCCTGCCCACCATCCCACCCACCAGTGACCCCATAGCCATGCCCACCCAGTGGGCCACGCCCACCTGGCACCTAGCAATAAATAAGTGGGTTTGGGGTTGCAGTTTGGGCACTCGGTCTCTAAAAGATTCGCCATCACTGCAATATAATATAGGACTCAGGAGGGAACTAATCTTTCGAGGGATTGTTACAGCTTGACTCACCGAGATATTCACAGATTTCAAAGCCAACAGAGATCTGAAATACTCTAGATTACAAGCATTTCCTGAAAGTAGGATACAATCATGTGGAAACGTGATAAAAATATTAGGAAGCAATTTTTGGATGAGTTCGCAATAGTCCCCAAACTGGCATACTTCAGCTGTGTTGTGTCTACAACTGCCAGAATTCCCAGACTGGTCATCTTGATTGGAAAATTCTGGGAACTGCTGCCCCAGTTCCCTCTAGACCAGTGATGGCAAACCTTTCAGAGCAGTGGTTCTCAACCTGTGAGTTGGGACCCCATTTGGGGTCGAACGACCATTTCACGGGGGTCGCCAAGCAACGCAGTCCGCCATTTTTTTCCCCTTTTCCTTAGCTGTGCTATTCCCTTTTATTCTATTGGCTTTTGAAAGCCAATAGAATAGATTCTCTTGAATAGAGTCTAATTCTATTGGCTTTCAAAAGCCAATAGGAATTGTCCAGGCTGTCTCTGCCCTGCTAAGCCCGCCAAAAGTCCCATTCTGCAAACGGTGCTGCACCGGTTGAGTAGTCCTCGACTTACGACCAGTTGAGTAGTCCTTGACTTATGACCGGTTGGGGGTCGCAGCATTAAAAAGGTTGAGAACCACTGTTTTAGAGACCGTGTGCCCAAACTGCAACCCAAAACCCACTTATGTATCGTCGGGTGCCGGGTGGGCGTGGCCCATTGGGTGGGTGTGGTCCATTGGGTGGGTGTGGCCCATTGGGTGGGCATGGCCCATTGGGTGGGCATGGCTGTGGTGGTAACGGCAGACTGGGTAGGACTAAAAAATTGACTGATTGAATCTTTTTTTTTTTGCACATGGCGGCAGAGCCCTAAAGCGAAAAGGTTTTATAAAACTCAGCTGAAGGCTTAGGACTGGGGCGACGGCGTGCATGCCCACAGAGAAGGCTCTGAGTGCCGCCTCTGGCACCCGTGCCATAGGTTCGCCACCACTGCTCTAGACTCTAGAGGGCATCAAGCTGGAGAAGCCTACCCTGGTTCAACATTTGTGTGTGTGTGTGTGTGTGTGTGCGCGCTATTGTACACTTTTGCTTAAATACTTTGAATAGAAGTCTTTTGAAGGAACACAGGAGAGAAAATCTCTTATTTTTCTCTTGCTGTTGGGATATCCCATGCCATTAATATACGCATTGCTTTGATATCTTCCCAGTTAGATGGATTATATGAAAAATGCTGAAGACGTCTCCGCAAAAGTTTTTTTCTATCTCCATGATACAGAAGGATGGAAAGTGGTAAAATCTACGGTAAGAAAATGATCTATGTTTGTCTTATTTGAACTAGTTGTCCCTGTGCAAATAAAATAAAAAAGATGTTAGAGCACAGAAATATCCTCCTAGGCAAGATGTCCCAAAGGTGCTTTTTCAAAAGGCAACTGGACTTTGTTTTCCTTGAAGACATTTCGCTTCTCATCCAAGAAGCTTCTTCAGTTCTCATCCAAGAACTTCCTTTGGTTTCTTCAGTTCTCCAGAACTGAGGAAGCTCCTTGGATGAGAAGTGAAATACCTTCAAGGAAAAACAAAGTCCAGTTGCCTTTTGAAAAAACACCTTTGGGACAACCATGACCTGGATGACTGAGAATCTTCAAAGACACTCCTAGGCAGGGTGATACGTAGTTAATTATAAGAAAATACAGAAAGCTTTGTTCAATTAATTATTGGGGCAAACAGGCAATTGAAATTAAGATACTTAGACTTGTAATTCAGTTTCTGAAATAACATTGATTCCTTTTATTCAGCGTATGTATTTATTTAGGAATAAGCTTCCCTGCAGTGTATGCAGTTTTGCTAGTAGGAATAAAATAATATTTTATGCAGTTAAAATTATATGGATATTGCAGACAGACAGATGGTTAATTCCTGTTCTCTTTCTTCTCTATTTGAGAAACATATGGATGTCCTGGCCAAACCTTCAACAGAATTTCCAGGAGTCCTGTAAGTATCAGTTTTGCTTTTGGTTACCCACCAGAGCTATGGAAAAGAAGCATCAGCAAGCAGGAAACTCTGAAAGAGGTTTCTCCATTCTAAGAACAGCAAAAGAAGGCTGCATTAACAACCAGACACAGAATAATAATAGGATTCCACGTGTAGTAATCAAGGAGTCCTGGTTTGACATATTCGTCAGTTGAGGCGTCAAATATCTCATGAAACTAAGTACAGATAGTCTTTGATTTACAACCACAATTCAGTCCCAGATTTCTATTGCTAAGCAAGACAGTTGCTAACGTTGCAAGATCCAATCTGGGCCGGTCACCGGGATCAAAGGTTTAGTCTTCTGAGCTTTTGGACTCATGCTGGAGCCCATCCTGAGGGAATTTCTCTCTACCAGAATGTGTGCTTTAGACTATTCTATGTGGTGCCTTCCTATTGGCTGATTGATATGTTGATGGCCGGTGAGTGGAGTACATAGTTTTGGAGTACATAGTTTCAGAACTGAAGAAGCTTCTTGGAGGAGAAGCAAAATGTCTTCAAGAAAAACAAAAAAAGTCCAGTTGCCTCATGAAAAAGCATCTTTGGAATATGTAGTTTGCATTTCTTGTATCAGATGAGGAGAGCACATCTTTCTCTTTCTGTCCTGGCTGCTTTTTAAAGAGGCATGATTGAGAGCGTTTTAAAAAACTGCATCACTGTTTGGTTTGGTGGTGCCTCCGACAGAAGGCCCATACAGAGAATAATAAGGACAGCCAAGAAGATCATAGGAAGTTCGCTTCCCATTATTCAGGATACTGCTTATAAGCACTATGTGCTTAGAGCTCCAAGCATTGTTAGAGACCCCACACAACTACTTCATGGCCTGTTGCTCCCCTCTGGGAGGAGGTTTTGAAATATTTATAGCAGAACTACCAGGCTCATGATTCATGTAGTCCTCAACTTACCACCATACTGTAATTGAGACCATAATTGTGGTCATAAGTTGTAATTCTAAGTTGAGGCTCTCACGTAAATGAAAGTAATCTTCTGACCTTTTCTGTGATGGTCACTAAGCAAACGCTACAATCGCTAAGCAAATACAGTGGGCTTTAAGCAGATACTGCAGTGAATCCATTCATTTGAATGAAGTTTTTGTTTATTTGCCAGAAATGGCAAAAAAATATATCATGAATTGTGGTCACATGACCGTGGAACACCGTAACAAGTCATAAAGCTCACCCACCCAAAATTTAATCACATGACTAGCTGCAGTGATTCACTTAACAACCGTGGCAAGAAAGGTTGTAAAATGGAGCAAAACTCACTTAAGAACTGTCTTGCTAAGCAACAGAAATTTGGGATTGAATTGTCATAAGTTGAGGGCTACATGTAAGGGCTAATATTTTGGAGCTGGTATATTTAGCTTCCTTCTTTTTGGTGTCCAGGAAAGAAAAGATTGGTTGTGGGAAGAAGAAAAAATACAACAATGTTGCTTTCCATCATTTATCCTATTTAGGCTTAGAAAACAGTTGTTCTTTCTTTCCACCCTCAAAAAATTATTTTTCCTTGTTCCTTTCTTCTTGGTAACAAGTACAGAACTCAAGACCTTGAGAAGGACTTGATAGAGGGACAAAAAATGCCAAATCCGATCTAAAACAGGGGTCCCCAATCCCTGGGCCGTGGCCCACTACTGCACCGTGATCCGCTCAGAACCACGCTGCAAAGATGAGCATCCTCGCACATCCAGCTCTACAGATAATCCTTGACTTAAAACAGTTCATTTAGTGATTGCTCAAAGTTACTACAGCACCGAAAGCAGTGATTTTTCACACTTAACGACTGTTGCAGCATTCCCATTCTGATGCTTGGCAGGTGGTTCCTATTTATGACAGTTGCAGTGTCCCAAGGTCATGTGATCACCTTTTTCAAGCAAAGTCAATGGGGAATCCAGATTCACTTAACAACCATGTTACCAACTTAACACATGCAATGATTCACTTAACAACTGTGGCAAGACAAATCGTAAAGTGGGGCAAACTCACTTAACAAATATTACACTTGGCAACATAGATTTTGGGCTCAATTGTGGTCATAACTTGTGAGAGCAGTGGGTGAGCGCGTGCGCAAAGCTCCATTTATGTGAGCGGTGGACTTGTGGGCCTGCTGCTCGTGCAAATGGAGCTGCATGCACTCGCTTGCCCACTACTTTTGTGTAACCATTCCCTCTCCCTCCCTCTCACCTGGGGGTCCCCAAAGCCGAAAATGTTGGAGGATCTCTGGTTTAAAGCATCTAGCTGACTGTGCAATCAACCACAAAATAATACATTTATTTATCAAGCGCATATGCCTCCCAACTCTTAGCAACCCTCAGTCTAACAGAAGGAGTATACAAAATCCCCAAAACATTTTCTTCCCCACTACAATTTATCCCTATATTTAGAAAGACCTTTCCTCATAGACGCATTGCAATCCTCACCAGTTCAATTAACACTGAAATATTTGTTTCCAGATACCGGACTGAAGTGTCTCTGGAGATACCCTCTGACAAATTATTCCCCTTTGTTTACCTGCCTGAATATCGCAGCAAATGGGACAAAACGTTGCAGTCGTATAAACTGGTAGAAACAATTGACCAGGTCAGTGATGGCGAATCTTTTAGAGACTGAGTGCCCAAACTGCAACCCAAAACTCACTTATGCATCGTCGAGTGCCAGGTGGGCGTGGCCCATTGGGTGGGTGTGGCCCATTGAGTGGGCGTGGTTGTGGTGGTAACGGCAGGCTGGGTGGGACTAAAAAGTTCAATCAATCAATTCTAACTTTTGCAAGATCTTTTTTTTCCTGCAAGAAGTTGAAATTGACTTGATTGAACCTTTTTTTTTTTTTTTTTGCACATGGCAGCGGAGGCCTAAAGCGAAAAGGTTTTATAAAACCCAGTTGAAGGCCTAGGACTGGGACGATGGCATGCATGCCCACAGAGAGGGTTTTGAGTGCCACCTCTGGCACCCGTGCCATAGGTTCGCCACCACTGGACCAGGTGATTCAGTGAGATAAGGAAGGGCGGCTGCATGCTGCAATTTAGCTGTATGTCTTTTTCATAGAATAGCTGTTTCTAAGAGAACATAACACACCAATTAGCAGACTTTGACTGGGGTGTTATTTGAGGATATAGATCAGGGGTGGGGAAATCTGGCCCCTTTATGGCTTGTGAACTTCAACTCCCAAAATTCCTGAGCCACCACTTTATCCTACAATGCTTATTTTTCTTGCACAGACTTCAACTGTGAACTTCAACTCCCAGAATTCCTGAACCAGTATGGCTGGCTCAGGAATTCTGGGAGTTGAAGTCCACAAGTCATAAAAGTCATAAAAGATATCCTTTATTGTCTGGAAAACTAGGAAAAGGTTCACTCTAGGCTAGTGATGGCGAACCTTTTAGAGACCCGAGGGTGTAATTGGATGGCTCTTTCATTAAAATCATCATGTTACATGAAAAAAACACAATTTGCCTAGGTTCGCACAATATGCAGAGTCTGTTTAAATCTAGTATCTGCATAGACCTATCCCTATGATCCTGCTCCTTCTCCATTTTGGGAGTATGGTGCAGTGTTTTCCAACCCTGGCAATCTAAGATGTGTGGACTTCCAACTTCCAGAATTTCCCAGCTAGCATATTAGCTGGGGAATTCTGAGAGTTGAAGTTCACACATTTTAAATTTGCCAATGTTAGTATAATGAGTGACAGAATACAGAATAAGAATTGGAAGAGACCTTGGAGGTCTTCTAGTCCAACCACCTGTTCAGGCAGAAGACTCTATATCAGAAGTCTTCAAACTTGGCCCTTTTATGACTTGTGGACTTCAACTCCCAGAATTCCTCAGCCTGGCTGAGGAATTCTGGGAGTTGAAGTCCACAAGTCATAAAAGGGCCAAGTTTGAAGACCCCTGCTCTATACAATTTCAGCCAAATGGCTGTCCAGTCTCTTCTTAAAAGTCTTTAATGATGAAGCGCCCATGACTTATGTAGGCAAGCTATTCCACTGGTTAATTATTCTCACTGTTAGGAAACCTAGCCGATTTGTTACTTTATGCTTTAGTGTTTTATGTAAATACCTATGTAAATATGGATTAATTCAATAATCAAGTTAGACATGTGTGCACATAGCTAATGGATTTGGTCCAAAGGTAGAATTGCTTCTAAAAATACAAGAAAAGTTATTTTAACGAATCATGGAAACCTTTGCTAAAAGAACCAACCATATCTAAAAACCGAGTTCTGGCACTCAGCTATTCTACTTTAGGGCCATCTAATGTTTGGCATCATTAAACAGTATTTGTCTTCTGCATAACAGATTTGCTGATTAGTGACAAACAGGATGTAGAAATGTAAAGTGTAAATTTATAGCAGGTCGTATTCTTTATAGGCACATAAAGAATATTTGTTCTCTGTCAATTATATGTAGTGCCTTAGTTTATTCAGTGAAGAATTACAGTGAATAGTGTTTAAGTCACTCCCTGGTAGATCATACATAAAAATAGCTTTACAAGCCTAGTTTTTAAGTAAGGTCCACTGATAGGCAATAAAAAATATCTCAGGCTAAAAAAATTGGATAGTTTGAGTTATACTTTTTTTCCCCTAAGCTGACAGACTACCTGTTTTAATTTGCTAGGCAGGATTTTCATTTGTGGACATTTTTTTAATTAAATCATAGGACACTTTCATTTATCGCAGTATTACCCACAGTTATGGCTTTGGAATGGTTTCGCCAAGAGATTTTGTCTACCTGCTGCACGTAAAAACCTATGATGGAAATTTAATGACAACAAACTGTAAGTAATTGTTTACTAGGAGAAGAATTATGGTATTTAAGTGATAAATGTGTGTGCAGGTACAAATATTCAGGAAAGAGAAGATCTATGCAATTAGTTTAACAACTATAGGAGAAGAACAGGCAGAATTGGGGGACAGAGTTAAGTGAGTCATCAGCCTAGAGTTGTTACATTCCCACAAATGGCCGAAGTCCATCCCCTCTTGAATTCTGTTGACCCTTATCTACTGCCAGTTTAGCATTGAACAGTAGTTGACTAGATTCTTGTTTATAGGCTTGAGCAATAGATCTTTTTGACTGCAACTTAAAGGTATGGCCCCAATTCTTTGTACCCGAAAACAACTCTTAATTCCTTTGTCCCAGTAAAACAATGCCCCTTCAAACTTATATCTCTATTTCTTGCTAGTGGACTGCAGTTGATAGTGATCTGAGTGGCAAGTCCCTCAATTTTGCTGTTTTTTATTACTTTGGTGAGATTGATGGTGCTTTAAGTGATAAACTGGGTACCCTAAGTCTTATGGAACAGCTCCACTTCCCCAGTGTTTCAAGATTCTAAAGTAGTGTTTCTCAACCTTAGCAACTTGAAAATATATGGACTTCAATTCCCAGAATTCCCCAACTAGAATTCTGGAAGTTAAAATCCACACATCTTAAACTTGTGCTAAGGCTGAGAAACACTGTTCTGAATGGTAAATTCTTTAAGAAGTCAATTTCACCTTTTAATTCAGCGGTGTCAAACTCACCATGTCATGTGACGTATCACAACTTTTTTCCCATTGCCGGAGCTGGAGTGAGTGCAGTTTCAGCAAGAGGCCTCCAGCCCTCGGGCCAGCAGTTTGACACCCCTGTTTTAATTTGTTCCATTTATTCAGAAAGTAGTTAGAAAGGCCCTATACTTCTTGGTGTCAGGCTGCCAGAAAAAGCTACCAAAACTCCCATGTATGCATACATAAACTACCTTTTCCTTCTACTTCAATAAACTGCATGGTCTGTGGTTTAATAAAATCTGATTTCATATTTAGATGGCTTTCAGATTCAGATGGCTTGGCTGTTTAAACAGCATTCAACATTTGCTTTGTTCCCTTTTGTAGCTATCAGTGTGGCTTATCCCGATTTACCTGCAACTCCAGCTTATAGTCGGGGCACTACTTTCTCTTCCGGCTATGCCTGTCTTCCACTACCAGAGTAAGGATTTTGAGCTGCTTAATTGCAGAAGGTTTTATTTCTGGAAAAAAACATTTAACCTGAAAGCTGGAAGCACTCTAAATGGACCTGACTCTGTTGATTTTACAGAAGTGCCAAATGATGACTTGATATTACTACCTGAATGTGTGTGTGTAACTCTTTCTACACTCATCTTTAAAGAGCTTCTGGGAGAAAGCAGAGACTTGCAAACCCAAAGTTTATTTGAGTGCTGCAAGCCAAGCTTAAACTGTGATGAGATGGGTCTGATGGAGAAGTTTGGAGGGAGGGAACCAGCAGAATCTATCGATCACCTTCTGGGGAAGAGAAGCAGGAGAAGGCCAAACTGATTCCTGTACTTGGCAGAGGTTGAAATCCATCAATTGATTACGTCACACTGGATTCAAAGAAGATGGGGAGGGAAGCTTCTCAGAACGCTTATTGATAAAACCCCATTCTTCTCTTTCAGGAACCCAGAGCACACCAAACTTCAGATTATCATCCAGGTGGATTTGGGAGGCTTTCTAATGCCTTCAGTGATCGATCACGTTATGCCCATGAGCCTCATAAACTTTGTGACCGATTGCAAGGCTGGATTTAAGATGTTAAGAGAAACGGAGACATAAAAACCTTGCCAGAGGGTACAAGAAAGCTTTTCTTCAATACACAGCAGGTCCACGTTTGGTCTAATGTCAAGAAGAGATAGGCGAGCTTCTTGGGGTTGAGAACTTCACTCAACATTTGGGGACGGGGATTTTGGGTTTTTTTTTTTTTTCCCATCCCCTTCCTTCCATCTTTGGAGAAAAGGATATTGTCAATTTGGGGGAAAGAATATTGTCAGTTTGTAATGTTTCCAATCTCAACATAGCAGGGAGTCATTCAGCTGGTTTTCAGCAGTTGTGGTCAGAAGACGCTTCAGAGGCCAACAAAAAAGGATGGGCATTTCATGCAATTTCAGATGGCCAATTCCTGATATAAAGGACTAAAGGCACTACAAGTAGTCCTTGATTTATGACCGTAATTGAACTTGAACTTAGGGTTAAGTAGTCACCATGTGACCCTGACTGATTTTGCAACCTTTCTTGTGACGGTGTGTGAACCCAGTGGCCATTAAGCTAATCAGGCATTTACTTCTGATTTCTGGCAAAACAGAGTAAACAATGGATTCACTTAATGACCACAGTGTTCGCTTTACAACTGCTGTGTTCACATAATGACAGTTGCAGAAAAGGTTGTAAAATTGGGCATGGCCATGTGGTGACCCGCTTAACAAGCATCACGTCTTACAACTGAAATTGTGGGCTTAACCACGACCATAAGTTGAGGACCACTTAGGGTGACATCCAAATTCAGGGCCAACAGCATTCAGATAAGACACTCTCCACCCGCTCTGGCTTTTCAGATAGCCAAAAATCACAAACAGTAGTAGATGCGACTAAAATTTCTCCTTGATTCAAGGTTACCTAATGAGCATAAATTGAAGGTGAGGATCTGATAAGCTTACTCTACACTAGAACAGAAAGGAAACAGATTTGCTGCACGTTTCTACTCTTCCGAGTGCCCAGGACAAAAAAAACCCCAAACCAAATGCCTTCCTTAATTCAAATTCTCACTTATGTGAGAAACATGGAACCATTTTCCATGTCTAAGGCTGTGTTTTAACCTGGGGAAGTGATCAAGAGCTTAGTATTGGCAGTGGGAAAGGTCTCTTCCCCTTTTTTTAATCTTCACTAGATTCTCTCTAATTTGCTTGTGTCCACCATTCCTATTTTATATTTCTAGACACTGTGTTCTTTCCTGGCTGCTGGTCCTGAAATGCAGCTAGAAGCAGATTTACTGATCAACCAAACCACGGAGAATATTATCTAGACTTTCTGAAGACTGACCTAACTGCCACTTCTGTGGTTTTCCCCCAAATACTTTTAACCAGCTTCTCAGCCTGACATTTGCTTTCTAAAATGTTTCTAGAAGTGGCACAAAAAATTTGGGAGGTGGAACCAAAAAAAAAAGTTTTGCTAAATGTCATCTCTCTCTAATCTGGAGGATTACATGTATTTTCAAGTCTATGGTCTCATTCTGCTTGTTCTTCCATTGGCAAGAATAAGTAATCCTGTAGCAGTATTTCTCAACCTGGGCAATTTTAAGGTGTCTGGACTTCCAACTCCCAGAATTCTCAATCCAGTATGGCCATTGCTAAGAATGCTAGGAGTTAGAAGTCTACACAAATCAAAGTAGACTAGGATAATGCCCTAGCTTCTAGCATCTATGACTAAGGAAATGGAGAAAAATTAATATAACTGCTTTGTATTTCAACATCTTTTCCCTTACCTCTACCCATTCTTCAAATTTTAAGTTATTTTAGGTGATAAATCATTTTCATGCTCAGGAACATAAGTATCAAAATTGTATGGGAGGTATGTTTCATTTACAAATATGTGCACATATGAACTTTACTTTCCCAACCTGATAACATTTTCAATATATTTGGAGGGACAGTTCTCAAAATTCCCACCCAAACTGGATAGGTATTCTTTGAAAATATAATATCTGGAGAGCAGGTTATACAGATGCATTAAAAAGAAATTTCCCCCATTCTTTTAAACAGTATCGCCTTAAGACACCTTTGTTTGAAGGAAGGCTCTTGGATCTCTAGACCAAATATACCTTGGAGTCATCTTGGCTTGAAATAGCGTAGTAAACTATTTGATCCTGGAGGTGACATCTGCCCCTTCTTTGTTCCTTTAAGTGTCACAACTTTGCTGACGTGCATTTTAGAAACACACTTTTGGCTCTTCCATTCTGTCAACAGTTCCTTCTGCATCTCTGCAGGCAGCTCAGAAAATGTTTTGGGATCTACAGAAGGAGGAAGGGACACTTGTGATCCTTGTCTTGAATTATTTGGGGAAGAGCCTTCTTCATGGGGGCTTTGCCTTTCTAGTTCTTCCTTTGTGGATGCAATATCAGAAAATGCCAGAGTCCTAGTACTTTGACAAAGGTCTCCAGAATGCAGGGAAACGGAGCTTATTTTGGCTTTTGGGTGACATGGTGATTTCCCCCCCAGTTCAGATCCTCCATGGCTCCACAAAGTCTCTATGGAATCTCTAACTTTCTTTTGGCTAGAGATTATTTCCTCCTTAATGTCATTTGGAAGCTGGTTGAACACATCGTAATCTATTCCAGCAGGAAGTAGTGGACTTGGGCATTCAAGATCACTTGCAGTTGGCAGACAAGGGCTGTGCAGCTGCAATTGTACACATCTTGTGTTTCTCTCTCTGGATAAAACATCACTGTTTTCCCCTTGATGCTCCATCTTTGTGTTTTCTGAGTTTCTGTCTTCTCTTGTCTACATAGCAAATGAGAATTCTTTTAAACTATTTACAAAAAAGAATCATTGTTCTACAATCATATGATATGCCTGATAAATTGGAGACCCCTCATAAAGCATCTGTATGTTTAAATATATGTATTCAAATACTCTTGTATTTTTAATGCACATTAATCCAAAAGTGAGAAGGAACAGATATGGACATCTGTAAAAGTGTCATGGGCTAGGAGCAAACCTATCCATCCACCTGAATTAATTCTGGGTGGAGACAGATAGACAAACAAGCCTGATAATCAGACGTTTTTAATACAGTTTATCCAGTTATTACATAATGAGCTGTCATGATAGCTATCACCGCAATGGATCAACTTTTGCAATCTTCTGACAAACAAAGTCAATGGAGAAGCCAGATTCAGTTAACAACTATATTGGTAACTTAACAACTGCGGTGATTCATTTAATAACTGTGGCAACGAAGGTCATAAAGTAGGGCAAATTTCACTTAACAACTTAGCAACATAAACTTTGGGCTCAATTGTGGACATAAGCCAATGATTACCTGTAGTAAAAATGAGGAACAAAAGATGGCAAGAACTGGGCAACACAAACAGCAGAACTACCCAGAAGGCACTCCAATCTGGGTGAAGGGCCCTCTGCCACACCAGCAAGATGGAGGCCATTTTGTTCTCGGGGGAACCTCATTCCACAGATGGTAGGCTCTGTAATATCTAGAGTAACCTTTGAGTTACAATCACAACTGGGACCGGAATTTCTATTACTAAGCAAGGTGGCTGTTAAATGAATCACGCCTGATTTTATTACCTCTTTTGCCATGATAGTTAAGCAAAAGACTGCAGTTGTTCAGGGAATCACGCAGCTGATAAGTGAATCTGGTTTCCTCACTGATTTTGCTTATCAGAAGCTGACTGAGAACTGCCATAAATACATGCTGGTTGCCAAGTGCTCAATATCTGAGGAGGATGCTGCAACAGTCATAAGTTTGAGGACCTGTCGTAAATCACTATTTTCAGTGTTGTAACATTGAAAGGTTGCTAAATGAAGGGTAGGAAGTCAAGGATTCTATGTATATTAAAAGTGTAGAACTTACATTGGAGTTGAAACAAGGTGATGACTGACCCAAATAAAATTGAATAGACTCCTTGGAAGAAGCTGGTGGGTCCTTAAGATTGGAAAAGCAGATGTTCAGTAAGGTCAGATGAAATGGAACCTCCACATTGATCATCTTTCGAAACAGTTTCATAAGAATGGAAATGAGGTGAGCCTTTACACTGGTGTCACCTGGAAATAAATTATGGAGGGAAAAATCATGTAAGCAGACTCTTACTCAAGAAGAAAAAAAATCCAATTCTAGATAACAAAGGAATGGAGAAATGCAGAAATTGGTTTTTTTTTTTAAGGCATTGATGAAATTACCAATAAAGAATATTTGTAGCTCAGAGTTCAAATGAGTGCCCTCTGAACTTGGTTGTTTTCTTGCTAGTGCACTGATTATGTTACATAGTTTGGGTAATGAAATGTCTGTAAGCTTAAGAGACCAACCAGGCTCAGAGTCCACCAAAGACCCTCACTGGTGACATTAAAAAACAAGAAATAGCCGGGAAGCTCAAAATGACTGGGAACTTGCTGGCACTTGACAAACTGAATTCTTGTTCTCCAAGCTTAAGGAGCTTAAGAAATGACATTCCCTAACAAGCAAGCAGGCTGATCTAGTTTCTGTGAAGGAAAGCGTTCAGGTCGGCTGGGATTAAAAAGATGGAGAAGACATTGAACGATGTTTACATACAAAGAGACAGTGAACTTGAGAGGAAAGAGGCTGATAAGGCCAGGACAACAATGAGGATTTGGGACAAGGCTTCATAAAATAAGGGAATGGACTTCCCGAAGCAGTATCTCACTCTTGTCTTGGAGCTCCAGCTGAGGATCTGGGGAGATGCACACATGAGTAACATGGAGATCTGCTTCAAATGGAGATTTGTTTAATGGGCAATCTACAACCCATTAGATATGATGGAACTACAACTCCCAGAATTCGAAGACATTAGGGTCTTAGCAAAGTTGGGAGTTGCAATCCTAAGAAATTGAAGGGGGCCAGTTAGAAAAATTGATATACTTAGTCCAGTGCTGCGTGTAATGTGAATAAGAAAGATAGTGGGGGGAAAAATAATATATTCATGAACTCTCTAAGATAGGGGTAGGCAACCATGAGTCATAAAAGAGCCAAGGTTGCCTACCCCTGCTCTAGGACATCAAGTCATAGGAAGAAATTAAGGCCCTTGAGGCACAATTACCTGAACCTATCCTCTTGACCAAGTGAGATGGAACTGGACATTGACGGCTCTCTCGATTAAACCATTTATTGGTAGCAGAATACTGACGGATGGTTAATCTGATGGTATGGGGCTTTCTGCCATCTTTGTACAACCTGTTGAAAACATGGAGCCATCAACAACCAACGTGTCCACCATTTCTACATTTCAGTCTGGCCTGACTCAACAGAGACGTATTACCTAGAAAGTTAATCTATGTCAAGCACTTACGCAAATTGGCAATTCACCAACAAGCATAATCTCTTAAATGAGCAATTTGTAGAACAAAGAGAGCAGTAAGGAGGATCGTAAATTGAGAAGCGGTGAATGAACTGTGATGGCATGGTGGTTAGAACGACTAATTCTGCTCACATTGACAGGAGTCAGATTTCTTCGATCTGATCAGCTCAAGCTTGACTCAGCCTTCCATTCTTCCATGTTTGGTAAAATGAGGACCCAGATTGTTGGGGGCAATAGGCTGATTCTGTAAACTGCTTGGAGAGGGCTATAAAGCACTGTGAAGAGATATATAAGTCTAAGTGCTATTGCTATTGCTTAATTCTGGCTTCCTTGAACTGGTACACGCCGGGCTATAATTCCCTGCCATTGTGGTCTGTGCTGTAGCTCAAGAAATATGAAGACCCTGCAAAACAGATGTCTACATTGTTTTGAGGATTTGCAGGTGATCCTTTTGCATGTTCCTGCCAGGCCAAATTAGGTCAAGGACTACTATCCCACAGAAGTAACCACTGGTAAGGAAAGTGTGTAAATCTGAAAATCTGAAGTGTTTAGTATGCAAATAACTAAAAAAAGGACTGGACATTTACTTGTGATCTCATTGTGCCATTGTTCCACACACTTTATATATTCACACATACACAATACAGCCCCCAGTTTCAAAATCTTGCTCAGACCACAAATATT